TGGAGGAGCACGCTTAACTTTTAAAAATAGTGTTCGGTCTCCTACGACAGCACCAGTACAAGGTTAACTTGGAATGCGAGTTTGGTCGCAACAAGATTTTGTACTTGGATCATGAAATTTCGACGAATGGGTTGAGGCCGGATGTTGCCAAAGTGGCCAACATGCGTGACTAGCCCAGACCTCAGACTGTTACTGAGGTCTGGTCATTTTTTAGGATGACGGGCTACCATCGTCCATTTGTGAAGAACTATAGTACTAAAGCTTCCCCACTAACAAACCTAACCCGCCTTGACACCTTTTGGGAGTGGACTGAGGAGTGTGAGCAGCCTTCAAGAAATTGAGTATACTCTGACACACTACGAAATCCTTAAAACTTTCGGGTCCTGAGCAGCCATTCGTAGACCACAGACGCCAGCCAGTATGGCATAGGCGCGGTCCTTGCGCATGAGGGGAAGAAGTTGGAGCCAATCGAGTACAGGAGCAAAAAAATGTCAAGCAAAAAAATGTCATCTCAGAAGTTAGCCAAGTCCACGTACGAGCTGGTCCATTGGAGGCACTACCTCCTAGGCAGATTCTTCTATGTAAGATCTGACCATGAAACATTGCGTTGGATCAAGACACAACCTGTGTTCTCTGATGCACTGAAGAGGTGGATTGAAGTCTTAGATATGTATAACTTCAAACTTGACCCTCTGAAGGGAGAGTACAACAAAATGGCTGACGCATTATCGCGAAGGGCAGACTATTTGGGCGCGCTAGTGACCGAGTTTGGGATATCTGATGATGTAACTCGATCTATGGTGGAGGCCTATCGAGAGGACGCAATTTTCTCTGAGATCATTCGCAAACTGAAAATTAAAGATAAAGCTACCTTCAATGAGTTTGTGCTGGTTGAAGGCTTATCGTTCCTTGAGAAGGCAGGAAATAAAAGACTGTGTGTCCCAAATAGAAAGTCGTTGTGTAGTTTATTTTTAGGAGAATGTCATGATGCAACTGGACATTTTGGGTACAAAAAGACTTCAGCTAACCTAGTGCAGAAATTCTGGTGGCCCTCTATGATGCAAGATGCAAAGAAGTATGTTGAAACTTGCCAGGTTTGCCAACGGGACAAACCAAAGACTCAGGTTCCGCTTGGGGTCATCAAGCCTTTGCCTATCCCTGAAGGTCCCGGTCAAAGTGCGTCCATGGACTTCATGGATACTCTTGTGACCAGCAGGAGCGGAAAAGGGCACAACTTTGTCATTGTGATAGATTCACTAAGTATGCCAGATGAATCGTCATGCCTGAAACAGCTAAGACTGACTACGTCATTAAGCTACTCATGGATAACTGGGTACTGGACTTTGGGTTGCCCAAGTCCATTGTTAGCGATAGGGATGTCCGCTTCACCAACGAACTGTGGCAAAGAACTGCCCAACAAATGGGCACCTAACTGCAGATGACATCAGGGAAGTCAAATGGCTAGGCGGAGCAGATGAACCGAGTAGTGCAGCACCTGCTATGACATTATGTCAAGCCAAGTCACGATGACTGGGACAAGAAATTACCCCTCGTCGCCAGCCTGTATAACAATGCGGTGCACAACACTACTGACACGACTCTCAACCAACTGCATCTTGGTTGGAAGCCCAGATCCGCACTCGATTTCCTGTTACCAGAAAACCAGCCATCTGCAGCACGTGGCAGCATCAAGTTTGCTGTCAAGAACGAAGAGATGCTACAACAGGCTGTAAAACATATTAACAACGCTCAAGATGCCATGGTTGCATTTGAGAACAACCACAGACGGCCATCTGAGTTTCAGGTAGGTGACCAGGTGTGGGTTCAATCATCTGAACTGGGTCAGGAGTTGGGAATCTCACGAAAACTAATGCTGCAGTATTTCGGTCCCTGGGAGGTCCTAGATATAGTTGGAGTTCAGATAGACGGACCCTCCTATGTGATTCCCACCCCTGCTCACTTGCGCACACACCCAGTCTCTCACGCCTCCAAGCTGGCACCTTTTGCAGAAACTGCACAGTTTCCTTTCAGACGATCAATGCTGCCCCCCAACCATGGATGCCGAAGTCGACATTGATGACATTGTGGAGCACAGAGTGATGCCTGTTTCCTAAGTGAAACAGTTTTTCACCTTTGCAGAGGCAGATGCAGATCCCAGGATTCGATCCCCAGACCTTACCTTACCCATGTACCGAGTTGACCCCTGAGTGTTTGAACCCGTGACCTGTGTATTCGCAAACAAAAGGTAGGCTGTTTTAGGTCCGTAGGTTGTAGGGGATTCGATTTGTAGACCTGTCGGATAGGAGTCTTAGAGAGTTCTAGAAGTCGTAACTGTAGACTTCCCGAAGGGTCAAGGTCGTAGCTGCTACAATCCAGAAAGGTCAAGGTCGTAGCTGATACAGTCCTAGGCAGTCCTGGTCCAGTCAAGCAAATACCGCATGGGACAGTGTGCACTACGGGCATGGGAAAGGGGCAGACCAACGAGCTGCAAAAGTATAAAGCAAGAGGCAGCACCCAGTCATTCATTCATTCCTGCTGAAGCCATGCGGAAGCGCTGCCACAGTGACTTGTGCGAGGTGGTCTGCAGAGGAGCCGGAAGTCGAAGTGGGCTGAAGGGAGTTAGTGCAACCATAGCTGGTGTAGTTAGTGTAGTTGGCGGCCATAGCTGCCGTAGTTAGTATAGATGTGGATGCGTGACTGTTATAGAGTGTGTCCGTGGGGTATCCAGGGTGATCCTAGTTGAGTGTGCGTGTACAGCAGAGTGAGGTGCAGTGACAAACAGAGTGTTGTACAGGCACTGTTGCGCCATAGCCATTTGAATCGAGAGTGTATCTGAACTGTGTCCGTGGTTACCATATCTCTGAGCTTTGAGTGGGCGCCTGGCGCCAGTTTGCTGCGCAACCTGTTTGCATACGTGTGAAGTGTGGATGATTGCGAGTCTGATTGCACTGGTATCGGAGCTGGTACTCGCTACCTCACACGCCATCGCCGTTGTAGCAGGAGGGAGACGAGCGCCATAGGGCGCCATAGCTGGAGTGCGTCGTCCAGAAGAGGAAGTCCGCCATAGCTGCGCTGCGGAAGGAAGTAACACGTACCTGCACAAAAGACAACGACGACGAAGACTCACACACACACACACACA